GTAATGCATAATGCTACCATAATCATAGGTGAATCCATAGTTGGTAGTGGTTTCATTTGTCTCTTTCACGTATTGATCCACGAAACCTTCCTAGAAGATGGTTGGATTTTCTTGCGGTCTTATTGAAGAGTGTGCATATGTGACTCACCACAACATTATCAAGAACGACTGTAATAAATTCATCACGATCGTAACGTGACATGGTGTGGAAGAGCCCAAGCGCGTGACCGAGTTCATGTGTAGCGATTCCAACCTTAATTTTGTGCTACGGTAAGCGGAGAACGATTGTTACGTGAAAGTTCCTCTCAGTCTCATGAGTTTGTCGGGTGTAACCTTTCCAGACTTGTTCACATTTTACCTGATCACAGCCGTCACCAAGTGAGAGAGGTTGCTCACCACCGACTCGTCCTACATATGACCAGCAGCCATCTTCCTTGATTAGCACAATGCTGTTTTCAGCTGAAATGTCATCTATTGGCCATTTCGTCACAAATGAGTTCTTCAACGACGAGTGAACCTTTTTGTCCTTATCTTCGGTGAAATTGAGGCATGTTGCTTCTTCCCATTGTTTCGCCCCCTTTTCGAATATTCGCTTTGTAATGAAGTCTGGAGTACTTTTGTTTTGTGAACACTATCAACTGACTCAATACAACCGAGGTCTTGGAAAAATAAAACTCCGAAACTGACCTACACCATCGTCGAAGCGGTAGAAGACTCCTTGTTGCCACGTGGTGTTAGGATATGCTTGATCCTTGAACGCTTGTCTTTTGGCTCGTCCTTCGACACCTTCCATTACTTCTTCTTGTTGTCTCCTGGGCAAGGCTACTTCAAATGATGTTATGTGTCTTGCACAAGGAGCTGATCAACCGACTTTGTCAGCAGGATGTCTTTTCTGAATGATTCTCGAATGCCGTGTCTTGTCAAGTCTCAAGGTAATCATCTTCGTCTCTCTCAATTTCCCTAGAAAGCTATGATCTCATCTCTCTTCAAATTCCTGAAATAAATGCACCAACACCCATGATTCCAATGATTTTGTTTGTGTATGTCACTTACCTTGAGCTTGCGATCAATTTCTGCTTTCTTTTCATTCGATAGTTGAAGCTTTTTCATCATCTTACTTCTCAGCTCAGTCAATTTGCTGCCAAGTGAAAGAACGCCAGTCTTTTCGAAGAGCTTAAAGGTGCTGTGGTGCTTATTGTTTTGAGTTCGCAAGGTATCCATCAGCGTATACCTTCTTGAACTTTGGAAGTGTCGCGGCTCTAATTTTCTCGCCAAGTTTTCCTCCTTTGAAGAATTTTTCGACTTTGCCAAGCCTGCTTGGGTGGCTACAGCTAAGAAGAGTAGAAGCAGAATGAGCCTCATCCCTGAACTTCCAGATGGAACGTTATCCTGTAAAAAGGTCTGGAAGCGCTAAATAGTGTGATTTTCTTGAAGGGGATCAAGTGGGAAGAACGTAGGCTGATGAGGATGGAGCCACCCACCAGTTTTATACACCAACTAACGATGTTTATCGAATTTGAACAACTGTCCTGAACAAACCCTATGTACAGGAGCAAGATTTTGCTGTCCGCTGTGACTGCTTGGCATTGATTTCTCCACCAGGTTCCTGTAGTTCGATTAGTTCGGTCTATTTTCAAGGTTCTTGAATCAAACCTTCATGGTACTGCGAGAAGAAGCGAAACTTCGAGCAGGACTCTGCTGTCCGGCACGATTGCTTGACATCGATTTATACATCCGCGCTTTGATTCCTACTGTCTGTGGCTTCATCGAAGCCGATTTGCTTTGCGAAAGAGCACCAGTGTTATATCGCCACTACAATGAGGTAGTGCTTACTTGATTCATGAATCTGTAAGAAGAAGGAAACATCGACCTTCAGACACCTAGCAGCCTTAGAGCTAATTGTTTTTGCTCATTGAAATGTGCAAATTGTGTTCAAATGTGTAGGCCAAAAAAGTACAAGAAACTGTCAAAGCTTTGTTGGCTGTGAATGCCTCGAAAACCGGCATGAAATTTGAAAAGCAGATTTCGCTCCATAATCCATAAGCGGCATTGGATTCTGTATTCATTCTTTCTGTATTCAACCCTCTTCTCTTTGTTTCATATTTATTACCTTCCCACTTTTCTCTGTAAGCAACTCTAATCATCCTAACATTGGAAATTGC